TTATGATGTTGCACTGTTCATTAGGGGAAAAATAAATGCTGAAATACAAATTTAGGGAAAGGTCACTGTTTAGCTGCTTCACACAGCCAGCGAGCGTCTGTCTTCTTTACTAACTAGTGATGCAGCATTGGTCTGCCTCAAGGTTGCGCTACAGCAGACTGGTTCACCCAGTTGGTCCTTCATAGCCTAAAAAACGTAACTGGGATACCTCTGAAAAACTTTACAATATGCCGTCACATGTGTAAATGTGAAAAATTGCCAGTTTCCAAAGAGATTGGTAGAAAGGCTGAATTGTTACTTATTTCTCAAACCAAAGACACAAGAGACGTGTAGGACCTCAATAAAAGGCAGAATTACCAAACTAGAAAAGAGTGTTCACAGAAGAAGAATTGTTAAACCAAATAATTTGTAATTGAAGCTAGCATTAGCACTGCTATGGTGAGTGAGTTAGCAGCCAGCCAATGTTGGAGTACATTAAAAAAAAAAAAAACGTGGTGCATGGTACTCCCACCGAATGCCAGGGGGTATTTCGCACACTGAAAAGCGGTGACTTGTGAACTCATAGAAGGGGAGTATGTGGTGGCAGTTCAGCTTTAGGTAATGTTACCTGGGTATGACATGATTTTTATAGCCTGTCACATCCATTGCATGGTTTGTTTTGTTTAAATGACTGATGAATGAGCCTCTAACTCTGAAAATTGTCAGGAATCAACAAGAGTGTTCTACAATACTAGTAAGGTCTAAGGGTTTAAAACAAGATAAAGTTTCCAAATATTAAATATAGAAATGATTATCAACATATGGAACGAATACTCACCTCTTGGAGTTATTCGGGGGAGCCTATCATCCTGACAGCATTGCAGTTTAGCATTCTACATCTGATTCAGCCCATCAGCTAATTAGCAAGCCCTGTACAAGTTAAATTCACTGTGTTAGAGTAAAGATGTAGGCTGTCCATGACTTGACCATATACTTTGTGTAAACAGCATTTGCCTAATATTTGTATTTCTTTTCCTCTCAAGTTGAATCTTATGAAATTAGGTGGAGCAAACATTTGAAGACAGTTCTGTACAACTTCAGCGATGCTATTCCAGTAAACACATCTGCACTCCATCCCCAAGAGGCAGGTTTAGATGAACAGTTTTCCTTCCTGCCTGAAGTTGCCATCCAGAATGGAACCACACTGTTCTTCGGTATTCGGTCACAGGACAAGGAGGCACTGAAGTCTGAGGTATCTAACATTGCTCGAGTGACAAAGTTTGTCCCAAGTCCCAAACCTCCAGAAATTGCAAAACCACCCCCGGATCTCCTAATCGTTATAGTCATTATTGTCTGTGGTGTAACCATTTTGGCATGTATCATCGCTACTGTAACCCTATGGGCAACAAAACGAAAGAAGGTGGTGAAAGAATCTGGAGGGGATTAGATTTGCAGAACATTTCAACCAGAAGTGGCTAACAAAAAACATGTAGTGCTCACTTGGCTCACATACCTAAGACCAACTCATTTTTCATTCTTTATTATTAACAGTTTTGTATAACGTCTTCCTGTCAGTATTGTTCTATCAAATAACACTTTTCCATTTTCTTTATGAAGAGCTTCTAAGATAATCTTATAGAAATGGCAAACTTTACTGGGAACCCATTTCTGCATGCTGTTGGGGAATTTATGGGACTGCTTTTTTGTGGGAACAGACTTGGCTCAGTCGAGACAATGTTAATAATGTTAATAGTAAACATCATTTAATGTAATCTATTATCCTGCCAGAGTCTGTAGCTATGGGATGTGAATCAAATCATTCAGTCATGAGCCTTTTCTAACATAATACTGCTTTGCCCCTTCTTGTTTTTGTGTTCTTCTCTCAAGATTTAGTCTGAAGTGTGTCATACTTTGAAATGATGTAAAAAAGCAATGTGAACAACTTAAATACCCAAAAATAAAATGTAATTAATCCATTTAATAGAAACAAATAAAAATTATTATTTGTTCTTTTTAAAGTGTTCATTAAAGTTGGCAGCTTTTCAATAAAGATGCTGAGTGAGACTCACTGCAATGTTTCTTTTTTCCCTCACCATTAACATCATATGTAATCTCATATACTATTAGAAAATGGGGGGGGGGTCCCTTAAGATCAGCATCACACTATGGGGGCAAGATGTTCCTCTTCCTCCCTTGCATCAGTTTGTCATTTAGGTTTTACAGACTAATAACTGTGTAATTTTATTAGTTATATACTGACTAATTTGTATGTTGAATGTTTTTTTTTGTCTTAGAAAGTGAAGTGAAGTAGAAATAAACAAGTACAGTGCTCATTTATATATTTTAAAATGAATTTGAGGACTTCATTAAACTTAATTTTAATAAGCTATGATCAAAAGACAAGTGAGAGTAAAACAGAAACAATTGGTTTTATTAATTGCATAATACAATGTATATTAATTAATGGTATAATGATGATGATGGTTGTTATTATTATTATTATTAGTAGTAGTAGTAGTAGTAGTATTGCCATAATAATAACAGTAACAACTTAAACCAACAGCATTCAACATCTAACTTTTAATGTGTAAATAATTATTTCACAAGCATCTTCCCATGAATTACTCTACATATATTTATGGTAACAAATGCAAAAGCATTTGTGTCCACAGTTGTGAATAACACAATAACAAGAACTAATAAAAGTGTCAGTCCTGTCAGGTAAGATTTAAACCAGTCTCTTGAGATGATGGGGGAAATGCCTCCTCAAGAACAATGTCTGTGTACTGCAAAGATAAAGCCTATCCATGCATGAGTTATATAGGATTATGGTTCATAAACCTGTGCACAGTTAGGTGAAATAAATTGAAAGAGCAGACAGATTTGCTTTTAGAGCACAAAAAAATGGTTGCCCTGCCCCATTACTAGGTGTTACAGAATGTAGAATTTATATGCCAGATCTTTTCTAGTTTTTCAAAATGTTTCAAAAGTTGTGTTCTTAATCAAAGTACCACACTAAAATTATTATATGTGAAAATGAAATGGAGGCCTTTATCAAATGTCCTAAGTACTTCACTTCCCTGTAATAAATTGACAATAAATAAACAGATGACAGTAAAAAAGAAAAACATGAAATGTCAGTTTTGTTCATGAACAACAGCTGTTGTCTGAAAAAACCTCATATCTCCAAAATGATAACTTTACAGGAGAAGGGAAAATATTCTCTAATTTTAATTCAATGGAACCAGACTTTTTTCCAAGTAATTTTGGGTCATTTCTGTTTGTCCATTCATTATGATAGTTGCACACAAGGTAAAGGACAATGGCTACTTTCAAATTATGCCAGAAACTGAAAAAACGACAGGGGGGAGACTCTTGTGGGTTTCACGGTGCCCTTTCTTTGCATTTGGTGAAGGGATGGTTAGCCTAGTCCATCCTAGAGGACATTGCTAGGCTACTTACCATCTGCAAACTCAAAAGGTGGTATATCTTCATTCAGCAACTAAGTTTGTGCTCTTCAGTGCCTAAAATAACATATCATTTGACACAAAAACCTGAATATGTGTTGCATTAATAATTTTAAAGGAATATGACGAACATTGATCATCTTGTAAGATATGCCAGTACAGAGCTGCACTCATAGCAGCACTCAGTACAACATGTTCCACCATGCTGAAGGCAGTTCATCCTGACTGGCTATGTATTCAGAAGACCTGTCACTCCAAATAAGATGGCCAATAGAAAGTGCAGGTGAACGCCCTCTTCTAAGACCCGACTTCTGTTAAAATGTGCCAAAAGCCAGAAGTGAAAGAAAGATTTCAGAAGGAAAAGAGCGATTCCAGAAGGAAAAAAAAATATATTAGCAAATAAAAAATAAAAAAAGGGAAGACTGGTAAAATGAGTAATAGATTTCTATCAAAATAAGTAAAAATAAGTAGTAATATTCTGGGAAATAAGTGCGATTTGTTATGTACTCCATTTCTTTTTTAATTGTCATTTATCGGCCAATATAAATGGCGTTGCAGATTTATCTGCAATTAGCTCACATCAGTATAAGGATTTATTTGTCGAGCTCTAGTATTATGCCCAGAAGTGTGTCCTTGGATTCAATGGCTTAGGACCCAGCCAGTGGCTTTGTCAAAAAGTTCTGCCTTCTGGAATCACAAAGGACAGAAAGAAGTACCAGTCTAGAAGTTTGCATGTGTTGTTTTCTGACAAGAAAGAATCAAACTTCAAAGTTCAAAATAAGATCAGCTGGTAGGTCAGAGGTGAAGGCTTTGACTCCAGAGTTAGTGAGTGGAAGTCAAGGAAAGACCTCCAATTTGCAAAAATTCTAAGAAAATTTCACGTGCCGTGACCTTTATGGGGTTTATGTGTGGGAGGCATCCTAGTCCTTGTCACATTCATTCCTCATGCCAATTCACCCTCCTTCTACATGGGCAGAGTCTGGGGTCTTTTCCCAGTCTTTACCCGTCCATCAGGCTTTCCCTGTGTTACTGGACATAAAATTCACATTATGGCTATATCATGCAACCGGTGTGTCCCACATCTGTATAGATCATTTAATTTGAGATAAAACATGGCATGTTTTGTACATTATTCACACATTTGAGGGAAAAGAATGAATTATACATCTCTGTGACATCATACCCTTTTCACACATGATAGGGGAATATCCACCTTTCACTTTAATGTTGCTAATGAAAAATTGTCCTTTGTAAAAATAAGATGTTCATGCTTTTTTCCCATTGAAGTCTGTAAGTCCATCAAGCTGTTAATTCGTGACCCTTAATAAGTCAGAGAGCAATGTCACACTCTGTCCTTGGGTTGTACCTTTTCTGTTTTATGGCGTTTGGGCTGTCATTCTTCTTGAAGGTAGGATAAGACAGACCCCCTTTATGACACCTTTTAGAGGAAGTCTGGCCTTGCCCTCAGGAAGGCTTCTATGACATTCTTTCCCTTCAGGGTCATAAACCTTGTACGGAACTTGGATAAGTCTAGTCACTATCACGTACCAGAAGTCACATGTGGTTGAGTTTGCAGGGACTCTAAGGGTGGAACCCAGATATGACCAGAAAGGTATTCTGTGGTCTCTAAACATTGTTTTGTTAAATTACTATGTGATATCAGTGAACATAAATTTCGAAAACAGCCAGTTTACCTAAACTTATAAGTTCAAATGATTTGTGTTTTACAATGGAGTAGATTTGAGAGATTACAGGCACTCAGGCTTTTTCTCCCTTGCTCTTGCTCTCTCTATTGTGCCACATGCTTGTTCGCCCTCCTTGGATAATAAGAATTATGTGTAAGTGAATCAAGGTAAAAGGTTGGTGTAATAAGGTTTATGACTGGTTAAGAAATAGCCCAGGCCAAGTGACTCCCCTTTAACCTTCAGTTCAACCAGGCAGAAGCTATTTGAGGGAGAGGAAAACACAGAAAACAATAAACATACAATTCCCTTTTGAAAAAATAGTGAATTTCACAAAAACATAAAAAATAATCTAACAAATTTTGACCATATTAAACAACAAACAGCACCAACAACCGATAGTCACTGAGTTGTAAAACACAGTTGTTTCCTTCTTACTCACATGATGGACGGTAAAATGTGTGCCTTTGTTTCCTTATTTGATACCTTGTTGATTTTATTTTGCAGCATATTGTCCCAGCAACATTTTCTGGTAAAGGTACATGTACTGTCAGTAATTACAAGTCATTTACTAAAATAATGTTTCCCAACCCAAAGGCAACATGCTTTCTGACACATTTGACTATCTCTGACTCATTTTTACTATTTCACACAATGAGGAAGATGAACTTTTGAAGTTTTATACAGCGGTTTATGCTGACATGCATGTTAATATATGACTTATTAATATGTCTTAGGAGGCATTTTAAGCTGATACATAGTAGAGATGGGAATCACCAAAGGCCCCACAATACAATTACATCATCATACTTAATTCACAATACAATATTATTGCAATTTTAACATATAGTGACATACTGCGAAATCCTGCTATTTATCAATTTTTAAAAAATTTTGTACTGCAAATACAGCCACAAAGTTTTTTTTTGTCAGCAATCTCCCATTCTTGTGCTACATTTTGCAGGAGGTGCAGTGTTTGCCCTGGTGTAACTTTTGTGCACTGCTCTTGTTTGGAGAGCGTGAGACAACAGTCAGCAGTTCTCGGTGAGATAATACACTGTTATAGTCACATAGGAATCCACCGCCCTTGACATCCACGCATCAGTCCCTGTTCTTGGTGGCTTGTCCCTGGCTGGAGTTGTCCCCGGAAATGTCCCTGTTTTTAACTGTGAATTAAAAACACATGGGAAAGTTCTAAGAAAGACCTAGCAGCAAAGCATACATTTTATGTTACCCTTTTTTTTGCAACAGATTAAAGAGAAAAGTGCAGCCCCACCTCTTGTCCTCCTTGAAAAACGGCATTGTGAGAGAAAGTATGTATGTGCCGGCTCAGTGGCACATACATACCCCAGCTCAGTGTGTTATATTATCGAAATAAAACAAGTTAATTCGATCTTATAAGCAATTAATCATATACTAAATATGTTTTTGTGCAATTAAAATATTGTTGTATGTGTTTTTAGGACGTTTTTACTCACGGTTGTGCGCGAGTTGCATTAAGGTGGAACGTTATTCTCTCAATTATTTTCTCGATATGACGAGTTTAAAGCCAATTAAACCGACATTGTGATATGTGGTTGTTTTTAAAGCAGCGCTGGAACTTTAATTCCCAGTTTAATGATTAAGTTTGGTTTTAATAGCTTACATAGTGTAACAGCTCATACAACAGCTATTTTATGAGAGTGAGAACTGTTTCACAGCGCAACTGAGATACTGAAAAATCATATTGAAGCCTGTTTATTCCTCCTGTCTGCCCTTTATGCAGGTATGTTCAGTTACTGGTGTCAAATATATAAAGAATTTCATACCTTTTAGTAAATGGGGAGCATGCATGTCTTTTATTACTGTAGAGTTACCCTGATAGCCAGTTAGCTTTCTGCTGCCTGCTCAGCCTACTCTAGTAAGGGGCAAATATAGCCAGCTCTAAAGAGAATATAACGTGTAAACCAGTTAAAGCCAGTCTGTTAGGAGTAAGCAGTGATGTTTAACCACTTATATGGGTTTTATTACACACTTCTATAACCCAAGAAGCTCAACCAGTTTGCACTGAAGTCCTTGTAGTTACTTAAAAATAAGCCTTACTATGTAATAAGGCTGGGATTTTAAGGGGTTAACTGGCAGTTTGCCATCTGGTTGCATTTTATGATCACAGATTTCAACTCTAACAGCTGGACTTTTTCAAGACGTCATTATGAAGCCACATTTACATGTCACGTGATGCTCTGTGTTATTCATGCTTGTAGCATTGCTGTTCTTGAAGTTATTTCATCTTCACTTGGCTGTACAGACAGCTGCAAACTGCACTTTGTCCCAGAACGTGTGGGAAGTGTGGGATTTACCTGTTCCTTCTTTCCTTTACAAATTCACTCTATTCACTCTCCAGGTTTAGAGAAAGTGACTAAACTCACATGCTTCAGGGAAACTCATGGTTGGGGCCATGAAGACTGCAGATCAGTGCAAAACAAACCTTGCCTCAAATCCAGTTTATTGGAGTACTGAGCCAAAGCACCACAAATTGTGTCCAAATTGAGATTCATCTGAAATTGTGTTCAGTCACTTACTGCACTGTATCTACTCAGATTATAAGGAAGTGGTGTGGTTATTTATCCTTATCTAGCAACTTACACAGGATTACCGGTAGCTTATAAAGATAAATGGCATCATAACAGAACAGAAAGGGTCAAAATTCACATATTTTTCTGGGCCACACTTGAGAAGATTTCAAAAACTGTATTTTAATGACTGTAAGCAATTTCCTCCTTACAATATATAAGTTACGCTCTGGGCTTCTTGTTTCAGTGTTGCAGTCATGGCCAAATTGTTTGCTGTGGTGCTGCTGGTCCTCAATGCTCTGGGACCAAATACAGGAATCAAACTGGATGGAAATGTATACACTGACATTCTCATAGCCATCAACCCAGCTGTGCCTCAAAATGATGAGATCATAACTCAAATAGAGGTATTTATTCATATATATTTGAAAACAATTAGACAAGCCAAGTCAGGTTAAGAGGCAAGTCAGAGTCCCAGCAATGAGGACAAAAGCATATTTAAAATCTATGCATAAATATTAAGATACATAAAAACTAAGAGTACATCAGCTTCAACACAATAAAGAAAAACAATCTAAATAAATAAATAAATTGTTTAACAGTTTATCGGAATTTAAAACTGTACTCATATCCTTTTCTACTGGGGTCTCTTATTTTCAGCCTTTTTTGGAATCCACAAAATTAAGAGTAACATTAGATGTCTAGTTTATACTCACATGCTGTGCCTATTTTAATTGTTCTTTTGTGATGTTGATGTTGACAGATCAATTTTTGGGGGGTTAAAATGGAGGGAAAAGGTTTTTGTTTTAATTAAAGCAGTTTAGGTTTTCGTACTGTTTATAAAATCAGTTTTGCACAATGATATGTACTATATTGCAGTATTAAAAACATAAAAAAAACGTAGTATTATTAGGTGACTATAGAATGAAGACACTTTCAACACAAAATATCAGTATCAGAATGTTACTGTGAGATGTGATGTTCTCCATTCTTCCATACTTCTGCATAATATTTTTAAAAATTTGCTGTCATGTTTAGAAGTATAATCTTTGTGCCATTCATATAATGTCCTACATCAGGGGTCTTTAATTAAAATTCAATAAGGTCCAGTTACAGAAAATTTCCTCAAGCAAAGGTCTGGAGCATCATAATGTCTAATTTGCATTATGATTCAGTGGCATATACTGTACATCAACATCTGATGTAGTCAACAACTGAATGTCAAATCAAATTCACATTATGGCTATATCATGCAACCGTACAATTCAGTCATATTTCAACAACATATATTGTCAGTTTTCTCTTTTTAGAGCACGCCATGTAAAATAACTTCCCTCTGGCTCACTTTCTTCTCCGACTGCTGTTTCTCTCGACTCTCAGAGCTCATCGTAATGCACAGATCTGATTGGCTGAGTAGCGTCACGTGTTATATTTACAACGCATGCGATTAGTCTGTTTCCCGGCCGCTAAAGCAGTACCGTAAAGGCTAGAAAAGCTACGCCTATTAAAATAGCACGACCCTGTCGAAATTAAATAATTCTCCTTAGTTTATCGATTATAGGTCCAGGTCCGCATAGGACAGCGCCTGGGTCCCGACTCGGACCGCGGTCCGCTTATTAGTGACCTCTGTCCTACATCTTTAAAAGTACTAAGAAAGCAAAATCAGCTAATAATTTGTGTATGTCTACATTCAAATTAACAAAACAAATTCAACCAAATTAAAAAGTTTTTTTTACGTTGTACACTACGGTGGCCGAGAAGACCCAACAAAAGCAAATAAAAAACGAGCTGCAAAACGCAGAAAGCACTTTCATCAAAATCACAACATAGGCGCTGCGTTTTACAAACGCGCTGCAAATTCGCCGAGACTCCGCGAACGCAGAAAGCACTTTCATCAGAATGACGACACCGACGCTACATTTCATAAACGCGCTGCAAATACAGAAAACAGGCAACTTCAGAAACGCCGGCAGGCCAGTCGCAACACAACCGATGTGTTTCTGGAGGACACTGAGATGAGAGGACGGAGCCATTCAGACTTTAAAATTCTGTGCAGCAGAAACATTCACCGGTAAAAGTTGACTTTTATTTGAGTGGGTGTTACTGGAAATGAGCTGTAGTGGGAATTAGCTGTAGAGTGTAACTGTAAACGTTTAACTAATACCAGATGACTAACCTACCACACCACAGCTACTGTATGACATGTCAGGCAGCAAACTAGCCAGCCAGGTTAACCGAACTGGGGATGCGAGTGTCCGGGGTCTTACCTGCTGCTGTCAGTGATTATCCGTCATAGATATTTCGCCCCCTTTGAGCCTTTTGAGACTTGCAGAGACATTTCCGTTGTGTTGTGACTGGCTTTGCAGCGTTTCTGAAGTTGCCTGTTTTCTGTTTTTGCTGCGCGTTTATGAAATGTAGCGTTGGTGTCGTCATTTTGATGAAAGTGTTTTCTGCGTTTTGCAGCTCGTTTTAATTTGCAGTTTGTTGGGTCTTCTCGACCACCATAGAGGGTGTTCTGCTGAAAAAAGAAATACATTAACTCCCCAAAGACTGTTATGTTCAAAAAAGACCAGGCCACTGGTTTACATCAAAGCTAAAACGTTGGGCCTTTAAATTCCGACTTAAGTTTATACTTGATCACTTCATCGAAGTTCGGAAAGCTTTATGGTATTTACAGCACACTGCATCACATACAAATAATAAATACACAAATTGTGTTGGCTTGTTCGGTTCAGACAGATGAAACAATATTTTTTTCATAGATCCCACATACATTTCTTTGCATAGTTTCTGAAACTGATTTTTGCTGCATGCCTCAATTTCATCACATCTCAATTATTAATGAAGATGAAGAATGAAGGAAAAGTTTGGGGAAGCAGCCGTGAACCTGTCAGAAATTCTTAGTCTATCTGTGGTTTCATCCATCATAAAATGTCAATCTCAAGGTTGCTTGTCAGGACAAAGGTGGAATCAGAAATTGACATTAGGTGTATTTTTGCAGTGTTGTAAAGTTGTGATCCTTTTTTTGTCCACAGGGAATGATTATTAATGGGTCAGCCTATCTGTTTCAAGCTTTAGACAACAAGGTGTTCATCAAGGAGGTGAAAATACTCGTACCACCCAACTGGAATGGATCATACCATAAAGCAAGAAGAGAAACCTATAAGAAGGTACAACATTTAGTCAGTTTACCTTCTTATTTAGTGGTTGTGGGGATAATATGGTCAGTAGTTAAGAACTAATAGGAACTAATACTATTCATTCTAAAGATTATTGTGCTTATTATTTCCGTGTAACAAAATTGTTGAAGTATGTTATGTATTTCATATTACAGGCCAAAATAATCAGTGAGCCCTCACACCCTTCATTTGGTGATGACCCATACACTAAGCAGATAAAAGGTTGTGGAGAAGAGAGCGAGTACACTCACTTCACGCCAAACTTCCTCTTAAACGACAATCTTCTTGATGCATATGGGCCCAGAGGTAAGAGCTAAACAAATCATCATATTCTAAAAAAGAGGGTAAGAACCTATAAATTGTAAGAATTTAAAAGATATTTGCATTTCAGAATGTAGTTACATTTGACATCAGTAGTGATCAAGATGTAACAGTCATTGCACAAATTCACAAGAATGTGATCACAGATTCATGACCTCTTTTGTCATTAAATATGTTTTATTTCCAGGCAGGGTTTTTGTGCATGAATGGGCTCACCTCAGATGGGGGGTGTATGATGAATATAATGAGAAAGAGCCATTCTACTTTTCTGTTACCCAGGAGGTTCAACCAACAAGGTCATATTAACTTTCTAAGTTGAAAATTCTCAACACATAACATTGATAACATTAAACTCTTTGTATACTTCTGATCTACTTGGGTATTTGTTTACCACAGATGTACCAGGGAGATATCTGGACAGTTGTATGAACTGATCAATGGAAATACTCTGCCTTGCCGCAATAATGTGCTAACTGGGTTACCTACTAAGGAATGCCAGTTCTATCCAGACAGAGAGCAAAAAACAAATGCTTCGATAATGTACATGCAAAGCATAAACTCTGTAAGTTAAATGTATTAAGAAAGTTACTACTTCTCTACTACTACTACTAGTTTCTACACTCACTGTCCATTTTATCAGCTCCGCTTACCATAAAGTGCACTTTGTAGTTCTACAATTACAGACTGTAGTCCATCTGTTTCTCTGCATACTTTTTATTAGCCTGATACCGAGTTCTTAAATGGGCAGGACCCCCAGAGTACCACCACAGAGCAGGTAGTATTTGAGTGTTTATGATTCTCAGCACTGCAGTGACACTGTTGTGATGGTGGTGTGTTAATGGGTGTTGTGCTTTTATAAGTGGATCAGACACAGAGTTTTTATACACTCTGTCAACTCACTGTTCGCTTTACTAGACACTCATACTTTGTTGGTCCTGTAGATGTAAAAGTCAGAGACAGTAGCTAATCTGCTGCTGCACAGTTTGTAGTCCTTCATCTGTGCTCACAATATGCTGCCCACAGGACACTGTTGGCTGGATATTTTTGGTTGGTGGACTATTCTCAGTCCAGCAGTGACACTGAAGTGTGTAAAAACTTCAGCAGCACTGCTGTGTCTGATCCACTCAGACCAGCGCAACACACACAGACATATAACCCAAATAATACCTGCTCTGTGGTGGTCCTGTGGGTGTCCTGACCATTGCAGAACAGGGTAAAAGGGGGCTAACAAAGTATGCAAAGAAACAGATGGACTACAGTCTGTGCAAAGTGCACATATATGGTAAGTGACGCTGATAAAATAGATAAAAAAATGGATTTTAAATGGTTTTAATGTTATGGCTGTTCAGTGTAATTTTACCTCTTTACTTTCATCTGTAAAATAGAAGTACACGACCATAGGAACTTTAAAACTTGCACATGGCCATGAACGGCACACCCTTACACTGTAATTCTTTCTGTAGGTGACAGCATTTTGTCATGAAGGGGAACACAACACTGAAGCCCAAAACATGCAGAACCAGAAATGTAACAACAAAGCTACACGTACAGTGATTTTTCAAGACTCTGTAGACAAAGACGCCCTTCAGACTTTAAAACCTCTACAATCCCCACCATCAGCTCCAACATTCAGTGTGATCCAGAGGCGGCATCGTGTCATCTGCCTCATCCTTGATGTCTCTGGAAGTATGCAGGTGTGTTTTATTGTGACAGACTGTAGTATTACAGTCTGATATTTTATCATTTCTTTCAAACTGCAAAACTAGCTGGGATTACAGCTCTTACATAACCTCTGAGGGCATCAAATGTAAAAAAAAAAAAATGTTTTACAAATCAGATTAAAAGACAATTTTGAAGGAATAAGGAATAAGATGTGGTCAGATACGTACAACTAAGTCACACTCTTAGTTGTAAGTTATAACAAATATATGCTACTACCACCTGTGACCACTGAATTGACAATCATGTGTTGTAGGCTGTCAGGAGGAAAATATTTGTTGCTGCTATGTACGTTTTACCTACTGATGTCTGATGTAAAAGACTGATGCTACGATAGCATGACTATTTTAAAAAATAACCAATGAAAAGAAAATATAGGGACAGCTATTCTATAAATTGGAGAATGTCTTGTAAAAATTGTCTAATATTTGGTTATCTTTTAAAGGGCGAGAGGATACTTCGACAACGGCAAGCTGCTACATTGTTCCTGAGCGAGATTGTGGAGGAGGGGGCACATGTGGGCATTGTGAAGTTTAGCACTGGTGCAGACATTGTAAACCCATTGATCGAAATAGATGGCAAAGCCTCAAGAGACAGTTTAATTAAAAAGCTGCCAACAATTGCAGCTGGGTCAACAAACATGTGTACAGGACTTGCAAAAGGCTTTGAGGTAAGACAAAATGTGTAGAAAATGTGTGTTTGTTGTTTTTGTTTCTTGCACAGCATTTATTGCTTATCATTATTTTTATAAATTAAGTTTTATTTGGTTTTCACATTTCAGAAATAAATATGGTTGGCACAATAAGACATTATAATGAGAAGCTTAAAGTCTACACAAATGGGGCACAAAATTGGATAGCTTTGGGGGGAAAAAAGGGAAAATGTACGTAGACATCTATACACTGATGAGCCAAAACATTATGACCGTCTGCCTAATTTGCTGTTGGTCCTTTGTGTCCTGCCAACACAGCTCCGACCCACCAAGGCATGGACCACTGTAAGGTGCCCTGTAGTATCTGGTAGTGTTGCAGTACTCAAGACCTGAGATGAATATCATCAATCTTGTCTTGGGCTCAACATCATTTTTACTCGCTGTTATGTGCAAGTTGCGTTAAGGTGGAATGCTAATTAAGGGAGAGTATGGATGCTAGTTGTTCACAGAGCATTCTCTCAATTTTTTACTTAGCATGACGAGATTAAACCCAATTAAACTGACACTCTTTGATATGTGGCTGTTTTTAGAGCTGGAGCTCTGGAACTTTAATTTCCAGTTTAATAATTTAGTTTGGTTTTAATGGTTTAATATTAGCTATAATAGCTGTAATAGCTTATGTAGTGTAACAGCTCTGTTGTAATGAGAGTATGCAATGCTTAACAGTACAGCTGAGAGAGAGAGAGAGAGACAACAACCTTAAAAAATGCTTGATTTGCGGTGAACTAACCAAAACAAAATCATCTAAACACCAATAATATGAATGAAATTAGAAATTAACAGTAATAATTTGTGCAGTTGGCAATTTAGTACACTAGTGGATGTATGTATTTTAAATGCTCATTGGTATAAACAAATGCTGCAACCATTCCATGCTTCATTTAAGGCATATTACGCTGTGCTTTTGTTTTATACTACTGACACTGCCCAAAAAATACAACACAGAGCTAGTGCATAAGCATCTCATACATCATCATTCTACCGTCTTAACACAAAGACGTTCTGTTTATTTCACATTTTATTCTTTACAGGCGTAAATTGAACAATATAAAGTTTGGTCTGTAGGGGCACCAGCTCACTCACTACTCTACCTCTGACTCCGAGCACAGCCATTCACTAGCTGCTGAAATCTGTCATATTAATCAGCATGAATTAGAGCATGCTTCATATAAATGATACACAAACGAGATTCTGGTAGGCTGCAAGGTTCGGTTTAATGCACGCATGCCAATTATAGGCGCTTTCGACGGTGGACAGAGTTTGTATGGGCACTCTTTGTGCTATGCAGCCCCATACACAGCAGAGAGCAATGCACTGTGTGTTGTGACACATTCCTGTTTGACCATTATTAAAAATTGGTGTGACTTGTGCCACAGTAGACCTTCTGCTAGTTTGGAACAGACAGAATAGCCTTTGTTACCCTTGATGAGCTTTGGGGGCCCAACATCCTGTCACAAGGTTCATGGTTTGTCCGTCCTCTGACCACTGTGAGTAGATACTCTTCACTGCTGACTGGAAGCACCCCATAAGCTTTGCTCCAACCCAGTCACCTAGCAATAATGAATTGCTCCTTGTCAAAGTTGCCCAGGTCTGCCCATTTCTCCTGCATCCAACAAGTCAACTACAAGAACAGACTGTTCACTCACTGTCTAATATATCCCAGACCTTGACATACAACATTGTTACGAGATAATCAACATTATTCGCTTCATCTCTGAGTTGTCATAATGTTTTGGCTCTTTGGTGTATATACACACATACACATACATAAACACATACTTTCATTCGAACATCACACTAACAGAGATTTTGACTCGAAAACAAGCTTCTTACAGAAATCTTCCCAAGTTTCCGTATGTTTATGGTTCCCTTTTAATTTTGCTAACACGTTTTATCGGAGGCACATTCAGTTTGCATCCCCACAGTCTATGTATATATGCACCAGCTTCTTCTTTACACTTCCAACTCACATTATCATTTAACACTCTTATTCTGTGGAGTCTTGTTGGGGTATGTAAAACTTTGTATTGAGTTAGTTTGCCCCTAGCATACTGTATGTGTCTCCCATTGTTAGCCAAAACTCTCCCACCATGTGCAATTACAAATAACACAGTCAAAGTCCTTTTGCTATATTAACCTTAAGCCTTTGCAGTTCTTTTTGCTGATACTGAAACACATAAAATGCAGGTGCTTTCTGGAGGTGCTTTGGTAGTCCACAGCACTCCACTGTAGTATTTATTTCTTGTTTGGGGCTTTGCTTGTTCAAACAGCTTCATTTTGCAAGTATTCCAAAAATGACCCCATCCTTCCAAAAATTACATTAAATTTTTATTGGACTTTTTTACGGAAGAAAATTAGTCTAAAATTCAGTCTAAAAGTAAACCAGCCTCAAAAATCCTTTTTTGTCATTCATTTCAGGTACTTAAGGAAGACGATCAAAATACAATAGGAGATGATGTCATTTTTCTGACTGATGGTGAAGCAACAGATAATATTGCAGGTTATTTAGACTCAGCAGTGGCCACTGGTGCAATCATCAACACTTTAGCACTTGGTCCGGATGCCTCTAACGTTCTGTTAACCATGGCAACTCTAACAGGTAGTACAGATAATGTATAAGGGTATTCAGCTCTGGTCCTGGAGTTCCAGTGTCCATCACAGTTCGGTTACTGCCCTGTTCAAATGCACCAGCTGCCTGCCAAAAGCTAGGCTGCAGGTGGGATCTTGGCATGACTGTCCTGTTAATGCTTGCTTGCATAACATAATACAAAAGGGCAGGACACATAGTTTAATGTGTTTAATGTGAATGATGTAATATTTGGCCTGAAAAACATTTTTGTTTTGTAACTAAACTAAAGCAATAGCATATTTTTATGCATATTTTACTGTGTACTAGTTAGTTTTATCTGCTGCTGTTTTTCTCTAGAACTTTCATCAGGTCAGACGCATGTGTAAATTATGGGTGCAGGGGCGTAGCCAAGGGGTGGCCAGGGGTAGCCAGTGCTACCCTAGCGTGATGTATAGCCACCCTTCTGGCCACCCCACTCATGCAAAGGGAGACAGTCAGCCATCATCAATAAAGTAGTCACTAGAGAAATGTTGTCCTATCTATTCTGTGTGATTGTATGTACTTTACTGTGAAAATCTGCCATCAGGACAGTTTACCATAAGTTATAAGAGTCAGATGATGCTGCACTCAATAATCATGAGTGAACGCTAGTCAAAACCTTAATGGTGGACTTCTTAAAAAAGCAGACAACACTGGACTACTTTAGAGAAACACTGTTAAGGTCACCGTCAAAATATTACAGTATTTAAAAGTATGTTTTTATACGTTGTACTGTGAATCACATTTTAATGACACAGTATTCAGTAGTAGAAATGATACAGAGAACAAAACTAATATATATCTGTCTCTGAACCTTATTCGGCTATTTAAAAATGTGATTAACCAATTAATAAAATAATATAATATACAGCTAATATATATCAGCTATATTCGAAAGATCATCCTGATTGGAAAAGCCTAGCCTAGCTTTTGGGATGCAGCTACATGCTGAACCTGGCAAATAACAGTTGAGTTAGATATGTTTGAGCGAGGAAATCACAGAACAGTGCTGGACAGCGGACCTCCAGGACTGGAGTTGAAGACCCCTGATGTAGATTGTGTCACAGAGTTAAATAAATTTGATTCTCAGGTATTAGAATTTCATATCTGTTTTAGCATGGTTAAGCAATGACAAGACTGGGCAGTAGGAGAAATGTGACTTTGGTAATGGGTCTAGAATAAAGTAATTGCTTTTTTTGTTCTTTTATACTTATTGTTATAGATGGATCATTTGTGAAAGCCAATGACTCTTTGCTTTCCAACCAACTTGTTGAAGCATTTTCTTCATTTACAATGTCAGATGGAGATCCCATCAAACAGACAATTCAGGTAAGCTACTTTTTTTTCATTCAAAGAAATGGTTCTACCTGCCATTGCCAGTCAACATATCTCCTTTACTGATTTTATTCCTTTCCCTGAACAGCTTGTGAGTACTGGAAAGGTCCCTCATGATTGGTTCAATGGAACAGTGCCCTTTGACCACACTGTGGGAAACAGCACCACCTTTACAATTATCTATGAAAGAAGTGCACCCATTGTGTACATAGAGACGCCAAGTGGTTCAGTGTATGATCAGACTCATATCACTGATATTGCAGATACAAAGACAATCACTTTAAATATTCCTGGAACTGCAGAGGTATGGCAGCATTTCTGGAGAGTCGACACTTACTTCACTGTAATTTTGGGCTAATTCAATGTATGAAGGAATGACGACAAAACAACCTGTAAATACTATAAATAATCAGTCTATATCATATTTTTATATTATGCGACAGAATAAAGATGTATCACCGTTAACATACAGGACTTCATAACTTGAATTACTTTTTCCTGCTTCCTCTTGTGCATGACAGACTGGAGACTGGAAATACAGCTTCCTCAACAAAGAATCAACTGCTCAGACTATGACTTTAACAGTAACAAGTCGGGCAGCCCGTAATGATGTTCCTCCAGTCACAGTTCAGGCCCAAATGAACCAGCAAACCAGTGATGGCAGTAAACCCATGGTAGTGTTTGCTGAGGTCAGTCAGAATCGCATTCCTGTGCTGGGAGCTAAAGTCATAGCCACTCTGCAGTCAGATACTGGACATTCAGAAAACTTATACCTCCTGGATAACGGAGCAGGTACCACTCTGTTTACATGTATATTGTCACTGTCAGAACAAAATTTCACTTTTGTTATTTTCCGTTTTTTCACATGGTTTAAAATGCCAGTTGTCCTTTACATTGTCAAAATTTCAAATGAACAACCCAACAGAAATCGTCCGAACTCGTGACTTAGAATTAGATCTTGTCCTTAATTTTTAATGGAAGTTAAAGAACACTTTTTTTCCTTTTCCTGTAAAGTTAAATTTTTATTTGAAGATAGATTTTGTCCCAACAGAGATGATATAGTGCCTAATATATAGATATATCAGAACATTATAGCTTGTAGTCATTATTTAATTATGGATCACTTGAGTTTAATAATGCATTTTAGATGTTGTACATATTGAGTAATAATTCTTTTTTATAGGAGCTGATAATTTCAAGGATGATGGCATCTATTCTAGATATTTTACAAAATTAAGGACTGGAAGGTACAGTCTGAAAGTGGAGGTAACAGACCATAAAGAAGACACAAAGAAGAAAGTTTTACCCAGCAGATACAGTGGTGCTCTGTACATTCCTGGATATATTGTGGATGGTAAGCGTAGCAAACTTTTATCGCACATTAGAAGGCCATTTTCATTCCTCTACTGTCCAACCACAACAGTCGCAAGACTTTTACTGTCTTCCTGTGAACTGTTCTTATGAAGTGTGTTTGGCCTGGACCCACTAATAGCCACATCAGGACTTTGTCTGCTGCATTTACATGAAGCTCTTCTTTTTCAGGTCAAGTACAGCTAAACCCCCAGAAGCCCCCAGTGAGTGTGCAGTCAGCAGATGTAGGCAGCTTCACCAGAACAGCCACTGGAGAGAGCTTTGTGGTGAGTGTGCCCTCAGGTGTAACCCCGCCAAACTTCCCTCCCAACAAGATCACAGATCTGAGTGCTGAAATCCAGGAGGACACTGTGCTTCTCAACTGGACGGCTCCTGGGGAGGACTTTGATCAAGGAACAGGTGAATATTGCACATTTCCACTTTAGACGACCCACTGCTCTAACACTGACTTGTTGAGAAACCAAACTGGATGTGCAGAGGAAACATAAATACATACCTTTCATGTTGCACGGGTCATTACATTACTGCAGTATCCTTATTTGCTTGGTTTATCTTTGATGTTGCACACAAAACAGCAGTTCCTATCACCATATGCGGGAAACAAGAGTAGGGCCTTCAAACTGACAGCACTACGGAGTTTAGCACATCATTTAACACCCCTGATTCAAGTCATCAGTTAAGTTAAAATCACTGTGTTAGAGGTCAGAAGTAGGCCGCCCATGACCTAAGTATAGTATTTTGTATAAAAAAGCTTTGTCCTAATAGTTTTCTTTCTTTTTCTTTTAAGCTGAATCCTATGAAATAAGATGGAGCAAACATTTGGAGATGCTTCTGAACAACTTCAGCAATGCAAGTCTAGTAAACACATCAGCACTCCAACCACAAGAGGCAGGTTCAGATGAACAGTTTTCTTTCCTGTCTGGTATCACAATCCAAAATGGAACCACACTGTTCTTTGCTGTTCGGTCAGAGGACAAGGAGGCAATGAAGTCTGAGGTATCTAATGTTGCTCGAGCAACAAAGTTTGTACCAACACCCAGACCACCAGCAATTTCAAATCCAGGCCTGAACCTGACTGCTATAGTGGTCTCATTCTGTGCGGTAACCATAGTGGCATGTGTCATAGCTGCTGTAACCACATGCGCAATGAAACGAAAGAAGATTATTACAGTTTGAATTCACAGAAATGTTACTTACCACATAATCTCCCCCAGAACATTTCAACCAGGGCTGGTCCTAGCCTTCTCGGGCCCTAAGCAAATTCTTACTTAGGGTGGCCCCACACATAAACCAGGCATCTTCATCCACTGCCAAAGTAGGATTAAAGTGTATGTAACATACAGACCATTTAATTGCCCCTACAATCTTCTGCTGTTCATCAGGTTAAACCAGTAGTTTTTCCATTAAATTGTTGGACAATTTACCTTCAGAATTTAGCTTTTCTACATAGGCAATGGGACATAGCTGATCTGACATGCGTCTTTATGAGTTTCAACATGGAGAAACTTTGTTCTGTAGCTAGATAGCTAATGTTGGCTAACATTATGATGAGCTTTGTTCAAATTAGCCCCCGAACTCTCTATTTAGGGCACTACGTAAGTCACAAATATATGACTTCTACACACAAATAAAGCATTATGTGTCTATAGGAAACTTTGTACCCTGTGACGGAAACACAAATGGCTCTGTATTTTTTATACAGTGGAAATGTGGTATTCAGAGAGTAAAAATAATAATTTAATGATCTAGTGGATCTACTGCACTACATGGGGATTATGGAACCATTTCAGATTCATCCGATGTTAGAAAGCTAGCTAGCATGGTCCTCTTGTGAACTCTTTCCTGCTTTGAAGCCATCATGTCAAGTCTGCAGCAGCTACTCACCCATATGGATAACAGAAAAATGGTGTAGCACATTGTTGTTACAAATATGTCGTCATACTTGCCGTGAGGGGCGCTCTCAGCAGACAGGAGCCCTACGCAACTTGGATGGATGATGTAAATAAATAAATCCAACATATTAATACATTGTCTTACATTTAATAAGTGTTTTTGTGCATTGTATATATTTCGAGTAGGTAATGTTCATACATGCTATTCTGGTGGTCAGGCCTGGATGGATCAGCATGATGAAATTATTCCCTCATCCGCCTCCCATTTTCCTTTTGCAATCAATCACCTTTGGCTCTTTTTATTGTGTGCGTGTGTGTGTGTGTGCGCTTTATTTAGTTTCTCATTTACATCCTCTTTATGTAGTCAACATAAACATAGAAAGTATAATTTAGAATGTAAATAAGTTGGCAGAAATGATTTGTCTTGCCAGAAAAAAACTAATAGGACACTGAAAACTTATGATGTCATAAGAATGCATCACCATCAGCTCTTAAAGTTCATTAAACACTAAATGAACACTGAGGCCTTAGTCAGTGCCTTTAAAATACCTGATGTAAAGAGAAAAGTAATCATGTCTTTGTATAGCAGTCTGAGCTGTATGCAGATCACTTGGGAGAAAAACACCATTTTGGCCCACAGTTAGCGGAACTCCAGCTGTCAGAATAAAGCAGCACACTAGATTACTAATGTGTATTTGTGTTATCTGTGTCATTGTTTGCAAACTAGCAATGCTAGCTAAAACTATGCCCTACAAAAGTATGCCTTTTTTACTACAACAAGCATTGGCATTAGCTATTTAGGTTAGGTAGATCACTTAACATAGCTAGCTAATGTTCGAGTACACACAGCGTCTGAAAGTCTGAATTATGTCTGGCTAACTGAACCAATGACTTTATTTACTTAGTACTGTGCAAAAGTCAAAGAGCACTTTTCATGTATATAATTTCCAGTCAAAACCGCCATTAAGTCCATGTTACAAGTTCATTTTTCAAGAGATATTTCTCAGGAAATTAGATATAAAATAATCCACTTGAGAAAGTCAAAGGAAAAGAAGTATAAAAAAACAAAACCTGGAGTTCAAAAAATTTGTTTAAAGATACAGAGAAGATGGGACTGGTCTACCAGGTCCTGCATGGTTGACTGCATGGTCTGGTAGACCACCAAAACTGTAATTATCAGAGCTTTCATCTTTGAGAGACAGCAGAGAATGAGGCTTCACTCTTGCTTTAGATCTGAACAAATCCACAGGTGCTTCTGTCCATCCCTCCACTGTGAGAAGACAACCCAACGTTATAGGTCTAAAACACTAATAACTAATGTATGGATAAATTTAATAAACCTCCAAAGCATCCAAAATGGTTTTATTTAATTATATATATATATATATATATATATATATATATATATATATATATATATATATATATATATATAATTAAATAAAACCATTTTGGATGCTTTGGAGGTTTATTAAATTTATATTTATATATATATATATATATATATATATATATAAAAAACACTATACCACGATACATGCCAAAACCATCAGTAATCTTAATTATACATGATCAAAATTTTTGCCTGTACTGCCCACTACTAAATGTGATTGTAGGAGTACTTTATAGTTTTACGTCTGAATTGCTGTATGTAAACTTTAGCTAATTTTTCCCTGATAGTCAATCAGATTTCATGTTCTGTCATCATCTGAATTTACAATATAAATAGCAAACACAAGAGTGACATCTCTGTAACTTCTTTCACTCAATACAAATCCACCTGTATGGGTCAACAGAGTTTGAAGGCTTCCATTCAAACTCTGATGACCCATATAGGTGGATTAGTGCACTTAATAAAACTTAAAAATTCAAGAAATTTAACACTTAAAATGATGGTTCTTCAAGGGTTCTTTAGTAAAGAAAATGGTTCTGTATAGAACCATGAACACTCAAAGAACCCTTTGCATGATTAAAGGGTTCTTTGCATCATGAAAGAATTCTTCAGATTGATGAAGAATGCGCTGTAGATTGTTTTAAATAGAACCTCTTTGAAAAGCGTTCTATATAGCACCTTCTATTGTTGCGATGATGGGCTTGTTACAATAGAAGAACCCATTTGTTATATGAAATAGTTACAAATACTTTGCCTGGTGTTTGAGAAAATGTGATACAAGTTTTAGGTCTGAAATGTCATTTTTACAAACCATTCATAGCAGAGATGTATATAGAGGGCTGCAAGCCAAAAACTATTTTTTCAGATTGAAAACTATTCATTAACATTGCAGATAAACTTACAAGACAAGTGTAGGTCCACTGGTAATTTTGGATTGAAAATAAAATGGCTATATCTGTGTTGTAGACATCACAACCCCTGGTTCGCATCACCACCACTGTAAATAAATCTGAGTTAGTAAGTTTATATCTCAAAGACTGAACTGTGGAGAACTTCTGAGAAATCGGTGGAATTACTCTTTAAGGTGGAACGGATAATAAAAAGCCAAGAAAGTGCAAATAAAAAGCCAACTTCTACCTCCTGATGTGAGCAGGAATTCCGTGCATCTATTCTTGCCTGAACAGGGAAATGCATCCTTGTTATCCACTGTGTGTGTCTTCAAGAAGCTCAAATATGCACATAACACATGCATAATGAAGTGCATTGAGATCACTATGATATTCACGATGTTGCCTAATTTTGTCTTAAAAATTGAATATATAGTACGTATTGTGGACATCGCCCAGCCTCGGTGTCTGCACTGATTTTTTAAGCCTGTTTATTTTTGAATATTAGCAATATATTTTTTCTTTGTAGAATTGTGGAACTTTCGTGAAGTAGGCACTGTAGACCTGTAGGCTGTGTCTGAAATGTAAAAAAATGTGTTCTGGGGCAGGATGACACAGAGTCCTGTCTGAATTTAATGTTTGTTGAAAAGGATGTCTTCCTTTGTTCCTCCTTTCAGCCATTTTTTGCATCCTACATATCCTATAATCCACTTTGTCCGCACTGAAAATACCAGCGCTGACACAGTGGAGAACACTGCCTTTGCGGGCCCTGACTTATGAAACAGTGAGCAAGACATCGAGACAGCTGCCTTCAGTTTTGGACACAGTCAACAGCTCAGTGGTAATCAGTCAGGCACTAAAGAGATTTTGGTTTGCGTGGGGCAGGGCTGTGGTAAGAAGCCATTAAGAGACTTTACTTGATGTCAGTGTCCTACATTATTGTCCTGCCCAAGTCAAATCCAGCACAGGAAAAACAAATGTGCAAAAATCTCTCAATTGAAATAAGCTAATTTGACCTTTTAATTTTCAGTTAACAGTACATTAATGCACTATGCTAAAGCTGAAAAAAGATGCCCCTTCAAGAATATGAGAGCAGAAGTTAACCTCATTGAGAACGATATTATTTTGTCAGAACTGAAACTAGGTTTACTGTCTTCGACAAACTGATGGTGCTTGTGTGTCTACTGATAACCCCTAATGTGGGATCCATAAAGTCTTATCTGATCTTAGCTACCTTTGATAACACCAATTTAACTTTGTGTGTGACTTATATTCCTGATGATTTGGAGGTCATAAATAGCTCAGAATAGAGGACGACAACTTTTTTATTTAGATGCAGTAGTTTCAAAGTATTAATAGTATTTGTACGTACTGTGTCCACTTATTGTCCACTCTATTAGACATTCCTACCTTGTTGGCACACTGTAGATGAAAAAGTCAGTGACAATAGCTCATCTGTTGCTGCACAGTTTGTGTTAGTCATCCTCTAGTCCAGGCATGTCAAACTGCCAAAGTGCTGCCGACATAAATGCTTACCCTTATCTAAAGCTCTGAATTCAGTTCATGAAGGCCTTGCTCATTGGCTGATAAGCTAAATCAGGTGTGTATTATGAGGCAGTGTACTGAAGTTTGCAGTGTTTTGGCCCACAAGGACTGGAGTCTGACACATGCTCTAGTCCTTTATCAGAATGTTGCCCCCTTAGAATGCTGTTGAGATTAAATTTCAAAGATATTGTTTCATTCCAAAATGTATTCCATGTATTCCAAAACATCAAAGTACTTAAAAAAACAAACTTTGCATATATATATATATATGTACGTTGCATATATATATATATATATATATATATATATATATATATATATATATATATATATATATATGTATGTGTGTGTGTGTGTGTGTGTGTGTGTATATATATATATACACACACACACACACACACATAATAATAGAGCAAGTTAGCTAAGTAGCTTTTCTCAATGATAATGTGAGTTTTCTAG